GCCTTTTTCTTCCTGATCCACAGTGGAAGAGCTGGAAACTACGTGAAAAGGAAAAAGGAGGCAAGGATCTTCTCTGAACCTCAACAGATAATATGGTTAAGTGTTGGTAGAAATTCCAGGTCTCAAGTTGCTTTTTGTCCTCTGCTTTTCACCTCTGCTGGTTGCAGATTCCGTGCCCACACCTGTCATGGGGAGCCACTCCACACTGCAGTGTTAAGCCAGACTCCATCACTTTCTACTGCTGTGAGAAAGCTACAGGTGCCAATTAGATTTGATTTAGCATGCAGAATTCCTCTGCCAAATTCATTGGGTTTTAATTAGGAACAGGACCCCTGTTACAACTGGTGTGGTTCAACACACAGTTCAAGTTTGTTTGTGTGCTTTTCCAGCAAAAGGGCAAACACAGCTTTTAGCTTTAAAAAGGGAAAGGAGAGGAACTAGGCAGCTGGAGGCATTGCTTCTAACTTAGATTGATAACATATTGCATTATTAAACAATTGAGTTACGCACAAGAAAAATGTGACACAGATTTCATGAAGACAAATCACGACAAACCAGTGTAATTTCTCTCTTTGTCAAGGTAATTTTGCCTATCAGATAAGTGAGAACAAGTGGCTATGACTACAGATCTTTATGAAAATGCAATCAAAGAGAAGTTTTCAGTGACTCATTCTCAAACACATTTTTGGAGGGAAGAAGGATGTCTCGGTGCTCTATCCCACTTCAATAGTAAGAGCTTGGCTGAAGGACTAAGGAGGATATGTATAAAACTTATGAATGACACCACCCTGGGAAGGGTTGCAAGACTCTGGGGCAAAACTACCTTTCAGAATTATCTCAGTACCCTGGAGAAGTGTTCTGAAATAAAAAAGGTGAGATGCAATAAAAAAGGAGAAACCAAATCCTCAAATATACCTAAGGGAGAATATTTGACTAAGTAATAAAGAAATGCTTCCTAATGTCCAGTCTAAACCTCTCCTGATACAGCTTTGAACCATTCCCATGCACCCTATCACTGGATACTAGGGAGAAGAGATCACAGAATCACAGCACGATTTGGGTTGGAAGGGACTTTAAGCTCATTTCATTCCAACCCCCTGCCATGGGCAGGGACACCTTCCACTGGACCAGGTTGCTCAAAGTCCCATCCAACCTGGCCTTGAACACTTTAGGGATGGGGCAGCCAGTTTCTCTGGGCAATCTGTGCCAGGGCCTCACCAGTCTCTGCCACATTCCCCTCCTCAGGAAGCTGGAGAGAGGTCACCTCTCAGCCTCCTTGTCCCCAAACTAGACAAGTCCAAAGTCCTCAGGCACTGCTCATAGGACGTCCTTCCAGCCATCCTTCCAGCCCTTTCTCCAGCTTTGTTGCCCTCCACTGGATGCTTTTGAGTACCTTAACATTCTTCTTAACTTGTAGAGCCCAGAACTGCCTCCTGTATTCAGTGTGAGCCTCACCAAGGCTAAATACAGTGGGATAATCCCCTCTCCTGACCAGCTGGTTAGTTGGTGTTTATCATGCCCAGGCTGGGGTTTGCCCTCTTGGCTCATCCTGAGCCTGCAGTCAGCCAGATGGCAGTCCTGAGGAGGAGACAAGTCTATGTTTATGTGTACGTCTCATGTTTTCATTTAAGTTGGTCAGGAATGGATAACCATCTTCAGAGCTTTAAGGAGAAAAAAAATCCAGAATCTACAAAAGGCATCACTGATAATTCAGATAAGCATCATTCCTCTTAATGAACGAGTACTGAAGTGATGTTCTTTGCTGGTTAGGATGCTCTTTGCTGCCAGTTGCCATCTGCCTTGAATCCAAAATTTCATGCTTCAGAACTTCTGTCAGTAGCTGAATTAGCTGAGGTTTTCCAGCCAGACTTCAGTGCATGTCCATTTTTTTGCATATCCAGAAGAGCATTTGCTTCTAAACCCATCTGTACCAACAGCTGTTGTGCTTCACCTCGGAATCAATCCTCCTTTAATGAGCAGTAGAGTAATTTATTTGTAAAGAAATTTCTCAAGTGTAGTTTGGAATATATTCTGGTGTCTTTCAGGATTAAAGGCACACATTGTGAGTATGTCTATAATTAAAAAGAAATTAAATGTGTGGTTTAATGTAGGTATTAGTGATGCATTTTCCACAAGGCACTGCACAGAAATGTTGGATGAATGACTCTGTCTGCTAAGCCTTTTTTTTTTTTTGTTTTAGCCTCATTTTGCCTTGAGCCTTTGCCACAGGCAAGGGGAAATCCTCACTTTCACAGCATAGGAGCATCAGCAGAGCTACCCATCCACATACACCCCCAGAGGAGGCATTTAGTGTTCCGTAGCTGTAGTAATGCCCTTCAGAGGTGTTCTTCCATCATAAAAGTTAGGAATAGAAAGACATACTTGGAAAGAAGTAATGCCAGTGAAATGGATTGAGCTCTGTGGTTTGCTCTGGTTTTTTTGTAGGATCTTCTTATCAACTCTGCTAAGCAGCAGAGTTAAAAACGCTTCCCCTCTTCAGTCTGGTTCTGAACTCTGATTGGTATTTTGCAGATACAGAGCTGCATCCTTCACAAGGCCCCCACCAGAACAAGCTGCTGACAAAGCCAAGTGGCTTCAAGAGATTTCCTAAGCTGCAAGGATGGACTGTGACTGAGAACCTGACTCACTCTTCCAGAGGTGTTTCCTGGCTATTACAACCACTGTGGATAACCAGAGGCCAATCTGAAGCTGTGCCTGCATATGTTTGTGTATGGTTCTGTACTGAGAAATAGTATGTTTTGATTTACACATTCCAGCTACTGCTGTCAGTCGTTTTCATGCAAGTAGTTGTCTTTACCCTGTGCAATCCCAGTGAGATGACACAGTTGTCAAGCAGAGCAGAATTTGGCACACCATGTTGACCAAGCTTTATTTGAAGCTTTCCCTGTGTGCCCTCTTAATGTGGTGTCTTCATGTCATGAACATGGTTGTCTTTAGTCCAATGTGACTGTTGGGTGCACAGACCAATGTGAAAGCAGTACCTCAATAAAATCTGGCACTTGTGTTGTATTTTTATTAATTGATCATTTCCCCCCACCTTTTCTTCCTCAGAAGATCCTCACGAATCTGGAAATTATTTTGACAGGAGAATTCCAACAAAAGGTGAAGTTAGTAAAGAGTGAATTTTTGCAGGGAAGTTCTGGTTTTAACTGGAAGCAGTATACACTGAAATGACTTGAAATAAATATCCACAATTGTTTTGCAGATTCTGCATCAAAATACGTTGGAATATTTCTTGTGAAGCAAACATAAAAATTCTCAAGTAGTATTTCAGCTTGGAGCACTAATTTGTGAAGTGTTGCATTCCTTCAGGTAATCAAAGAGCTCTAATTGCACATTTTATTTCCCCAGAAGTCTCAGAACAACCAACACAGCCTTAACTGTCATATTTGAGTTTTCAAGTCTTTCAAGCTCTCAGTCCTGAAATTATGAACGTTAATGATAATGATTTCTTTTTATCTTGTGAGAATTCTTTACGGTGAGTGATGAAAAGAATTTCAAAAATATTTAACCATGCTATTGATGTTAAGGCAGTAGACAGATTATATCTTCCATTTGCAGGTGAAGCCTGAAATATTTACTTACCATGTCAGTTTTTTCTCTGGTTATACTTCAACTTTTTAAGATAAAATCCTTGTCTACTCTTTGGGAGGGACAGCTTTTTGTGTGATAGTCCTTGAAAATTAAACTGTAGCCATCTGGTATTATGCATCAAAACCCCAAAGTGCTTCTGATCTAATCTACTCTTGTGTGAAATAATACACCAGTGCCTGCAAAAAAAGTAGAGAATATGGTGAATGTTCTTTCAATAGCTGTTTGCATATAATATCTCACTAAACTGGCATTTGCCACTGCAGCCTTCTAGAAAATTGAAACCACATTGGATGCACAAAGAAAGTATTTTTATAACAACTGAACATAAACCTCCAGCCTCATAAGTTTCTTGATTTGGGCTGTCAAAGAGCAGAAGGGAAAAGGATTTATGATTTTTGCCATGTGGTTTCCTTTGAGGATCCCAGCCCTGAGATACACATTCTAGAAGCATTTGCTTCCTTTTGAGCCATCAATAAAAGGCTTGTGGAAGATGAGAAAAAAGAGGATTTAAGTTATTTTAACTGCATACAAACCTGAGCTAGCACTTTAATTTTTAGATTTTAAAGTATTAAAGATATTTAAAGTAACAAAATATACTCTATTTTGAATGTTGCAGATCCAAATAGCTTTGATTCTTTTTTTCTCTCAGGCAATTTCTAAATCTTTAATTCCTCAGATGAGAAGATTGTTTTCCCCTCAAATATTGGGCTTTTTATTCATTTTGAATATCTTAAGATACCGAGGTAACAGAATAAAAACCAGAATGCAAAAAAAAAAAATGCTTTCAATCTAATGCCTATGTCTAATGCCTGTTTTTGTTTTGTGTTAGGAAAATCCATTTCTTTGCCCTTTTAGGTAGTTATTTTGTAATTGAGGTATTCTAAATGTCACCAAAAAGTACCTCCCACGCTGGTTTGATTAGGGACTCAGTACACTGCCCATAACAGCTTTCAATGTGCAGTCACAACAAGGGTGACTCCCTGTGCTTAATAGGCATAATAAGGCTTAATGTACTTGTTAGGCATAGCCCTAATTTTTGCCCTGGGAACATTTTAAGCTTAAATAGCTTAGATTACTATAGTAAAGCAAATTCAGGGCTGTTGTGCTGCCATCAGCTGTACAGAAGCTACTAAAGCTCACAGAAGTTTCTATGAGTATTTTTTATTGTTTGTCAAAGTTGGGGAATTTTTCTAATCCTAGGGTCAAAATAAAAATGGGAGAATTGTGGAATAGTATGGAATAGGCCTCTTGGACTGTGAGGTGTAGAAAGTGTGTCTGTCTCTGCACTTACAGATGCCAGCGGAGGAGCACAAGCTGCAGCTCCTGATGGGTTTCCCTGGGACCAGCCTGATTCCCACTGGCACTCCTAGGGCTGGCTGCATCTTTCTTTGGAGTTCTGCTGGCAGAAGTGGCAGCTCACTCCAAAGGGATCTGCCTTTGTCATCCCTACCATTCTAGATGTTGCAATATTAACATCTGGCTGTTCACTCGTATTATTTCATCTGACTTTGGGTCTAAGCAGAAAATGCCTAATCAGTAGTCCCACACAATCAATGAAGTATTTAATGTCTTCAATAATTAATCACTTTCTTTAAGTGTAATTCCTAAGGGCCCTATCTTTTTCAACCTCTAAATTAGGGAAGAAAGACCAGCAAAAAGTCACAGTTTTACCGAATGAAAATAATGTCTGTTTTAATTATTTTAATTATTTTCCTAACATGACAAATGCTAGAGATCCTCATGACTGTTCCATGGCTCAAGTTGTGGAAAACATTAAGCAGGAAGAGCATAAAAATTCAGCTACTTCCTAGGAATACAAATGAGAAAGTTTTAAGGGTTTTTTTCTGTTAGCCTGAAGCTCACAGAAATCCTGTCTCTTAATTTGAGGTAAGGAATTTAAAAGTTTTTCGAATAGATTTAGAAGTGATTATAGTTATAAGGTCAGAAGAATAGTCAATTAGGAGGTGTTTGTGGAAGATGTACTTGTTCTTTTCATATCCATTTGTCTGGAAGTTTAGAAAGATAAGAAAAAGTATAAGTAGAGTTCATATTTCGACAGACACTGAACAGTGGAATAAAGATCCATTATATATTGCAATAAAAGAAGGGGATGAGAGAATTTTGCAATGGACCAGTTTTTGGAGAGTCAGCTCTTAGCCATATGAAGCTATTTCTGGTTCAAAAAAAGACATCTCTGCTACACTGAGAAATTGAAAAAAATGAAAAGCTGATCTGAACAACCACCACCAGGATCTGTCCGAGTTCCCAACATCATTTATTTCTGGAGTAGGTCTTTCAAAACACATGCTGGTTTCTAGTGCTCAGTGGGATTAGTGCCCTCAGCATCCCCCTTCTGTCACTCTGTTGTTCCTTAGTGACCACAAGAGTGTGATCTACAGGTAGAGATAATTGATTTATATGTGTGTGTGTGTGTGTGTGTGTGTGTGTGTGTAGAGCACATTTGTTTGAGATGCCTTTGTGTGGGAAGAATCTATCCAGCCATCTCTGAAATCCCTAAGTCTATAACCAATATACTGAAATTTAGATTCTACATATTCTTTATACTTGCTGCTTAAAAACGTCTTTTCAGCCCTCTCCTGTATTCCTATACTTTTTCCAATCCATCTCCTTTAGAAAAACTGCTGAAGAGCCGTGTTTTGTACACAGAGTACATTTTATGGCAACAGCAACACAGAGTGGTGAAATCCATTAGTGGAAGCAGCGTAAGTACAAAGAAGTGCATATAAGCACCTTTTTTGCAGTTGATGTTTCAGGATGCTTTAGCTGAAGAGTATCTTATGAAACCACAGCTTCACTTTCCCCTTGGTTAAAAAGAAAAGCTACTGGCAAGAAGGTGTTCAGGCCCGTGATGTTTTTAATCTGCTCCATCAGCTGTGCTGAGCATTTTACCGGCTGGGTCATACAGCGTGACCTAGAGATTTAAAGGGAAAATGGGTTGTTCAGGCTTTGGATGGCTGTGGATGAACTTCTGCAGAGGGACTTGGGGTTGATGGGACAGCATCCTGAACTTCCTGAGCCCCCATCCAGGCAAAATCTCTATCAGTTCCAAGTGGGTGGGCAGAAGCAAGAGCCGGGGTTTGTCCCCAGAATCAGAGGAGCACGAGCAGATGGTTTATGAAAATTTTGTGTTGTCAATTCCACCAGAAAATCCTTGTGGAAACCAAACCTCACATCAGAACCATCCCTGCCCAAAGCTGTGACTTCCTGCAGGGAGAGCAAGATATTCGTCTTGTTCCTGATGAATAACTACTTAGTTCTGCAAACGAATGTAATGAAAGTGCGTTTTCCTTAATGAATGAACTGCAAAATTAAATCAGTATTTTTCAGTCAACTATAGCTATTTCAGTAAGTTGTGTCTGCTTCTTCCACAATGCTGAATCACAATGTCAAACCAGCACAACTGAATTATAGGAGAGGAAATAAAGTAACATGCTGAACACCAGCAAGTTACTTCAAATTGCCAGTGCCATAACTACCTATGGGGAATGAGAACAGTCAAGGCATAGATTCAGCTGGGGGAAAATTGACTCAGAGTGACTGATTTGCAAAGTTTCAAGGCTCAATTTTTCATCCCATCTGAGCTTTATAGACTGGTTGCACCCTTCAGTCTGTTACTGGTTTTGCTACAGGGATTTTTTTAGCTGTGAAGAAGTGAGGGAAAGTAATTGAAGAACCAGTATTTGTACATTTGGCTTTTAAAAAGGTAAAGGAACTTGTTGATTTTCAGTGCAATGTTAGTTTGCATTTTGTTGTTCTTAAAAATAGATCCCAAAATCCTTTCTACAGAAGAGAAAATATTGCAGCCAAATAATTTTTCTTTGCATTTTTAAGCAGAGATGAGTACCTTATTCCTTATTTTAATGTGCTGAGAAACATGGTGCAGTGACTTTATTGTCATATGAGGTTGTAATGGAGTGTTTTATATGGAATGAAAAGCCAGAAATTTCAAGTGAAATATATGGCTTTGTTTGTGATGAAGGCAACAAAGGCAGAATCTCTCCACAGTTAACAGGTAACTCCAAGAAATAGATTATATATTGATGCAATACATTGTTTTTTAAAAGTAGTAATGAATTGAGCCATAGTTGAGAAATCAAGTACTAAAGTTGTTGGCTCTGGTGACTACATGTACAGATCACCTCTGACTAATATGTTTCGTCATATTAGTCAGGACAATTTATTAAGTCCTGTAATTTGTGAATATTTCATATTTATTTTCTCCATTGCCATGGGAAGGCGGGAGCTGGGAAAGCAAAGGTCGTATCTAAGCTGTATTTGTGCTGGTAAAATGAAGAGGTAAATGCACCTAAGTCAATATATTAGGGATGTGCATTTTGGTTTAGAGATAAAAATTGCATTTTTCATCTCATTTCTTTCCAGATAAGAAATCTGAGAGTTCAATCTGAGAATGTGCAAACTTCATTCCTAAGAATCCCCACCATATTTAATTGTCTAAGATATAATTTACTCTATCTGACGCAGAGTCATTGCTCCTAATGCAGATCAAAATATGTCTGTCCCTTTCAGTAGAAGCAAAACTGGGACAAGAAGAAATTCTCATTGTAAACACAATCTTCTCTCTCAAAGCTTAGCCTTCCAGCCCTGAGGAGTTAAGCTCCCACCTCAGACATGGAAGCCTTTCCCTCGCAGAAGTGAGTATGAATCCCAATCCTGCAGCACAGCCCCACCTCCACTGTTAAGGTGAAATGTAGGAGGGTTGAGACAATAAGGAAAATAAGTAGCTGTGAACCTACGAGTGACCAGGAGTCTGTGGAGTGACCTAGTGTTTGGCCAACTCAGATACACAGGCTGCCTTGGCAGAACTTGGAAGCAGGAAGATGTTTGGGAATGCATCCAGCTGCAAAGGGCCCATAGAGAAGGATGATGCTGGCACAGTCTGTGTGGCAGGTGATCATGGGTTGTTTTCAAGTGTTTACTGCATTTTTTGATTAAGAAGTGGTCAGATCATTTGGGGGTGAGGAGGAGGGAGTCTGGGTCACTCATGGATGAAAGTTTGGGTTAATTATTAGCAGCAAATTGGCAGGGGAGGGAAGGGAAAGGGAGGTAGAAGAGGAGGGGGCTGGCATTCTGGGACTGTAAGAGAAACCTCTAATTCTTACCCCCCCTTCCCCTCTGACTCTACTTTTCATTCATGAGTGGTGATTCACCTTTGTCTCTTATTATTCTCTCTTCTGTGTACACATTTAAAGCACCCAGTCAGCATGGAAACTACCTCTCATATAAATGTCATCTGTTCCATGGAGACAGAACCAGAAAGATCATAAAGTTACAGCAAATCCGTGCCAGCCTCACCGGTGAGTTACATGCAAGAGATTTCCTTGAAACTTTGATGAGTTTTTGGGTCTGTAGTTTTGGCTCTGCTCTTCCCTGTGCTCCCTATTAGCATGTTAATGGGTGACCGTTGGTGTAAAGATCCCTCTAATACGTCACAACTGGAGAGCTTGTTCCACTTGAGGAAAATAATGTTCCTTGTGGGTTATCAACAGGCAGTGTTTCATATTTATCAGCTTGGCAACAGCAGGTAGTATGAGGAGCTGAAGAGTCCTCAGTGGTAGCACGTAATAAAGTAAAATAAAGTAATTTTCTAAGTTATTTAGAATATCACAATATCTTAAATGATAATAATAACAATAATAAAAAAAAGAAGTTGTAAAGTGGTTGCACTGAGCAGTCAGTCTCTAGTGTTAGATCAGGGATGTGGAAAAATTCTTTAACTCACCAGCTAATGGTTAATTATGAACCAGCCGAAAATGAAACCATGACAAAACATAACGCTTTGTGCAGCTGCTTACATGTCTTGATGGAATAACATGAGGATGCATAAGACATCCCAGGACAGAGAAAAATGCAGGTGCAGAATTCTGTTTTGGGGATATAATGGGACTAAATTAAATCTAGAAGTTACACTTGGGGAATTCAAACACCCACAGAAGGAATTCACTGGCAGATCATCGAGCTGTATCTGAACAGTGCTCAGCATCCATTGCTTATCCCACATGGTCACATACAGAGAAAGGGAAATAGAGAGGAGCAACCAGCTTGCACAGTAGGAAAGGGTGGAGTTAGGAAGGACTCTATGACGTATCAGATAACAGCCTATGGAAGGCATCTGGTCATTTACACCAGAGATAAAATCTTGGAAATCGTGTGGATACACCCTGTGGAGGACACTGGCCAATACACAGCCAGGTCCAGCTTCATCATAATCTGCAGAAAGTTCTGTGGCCCGGGCTTGTTTTGGACAAAGTTGTGAGTTGCAATGCCAGATATACACTATCTGTTTTCTCATGCTGTTTGAAAAGCACACAAAGAAAGAGGAAAAGAAGGACCAGGTAAGACAAAACGCTTCTCCACCCAGGGCTTATTGCTCCAGAGGGGATGCAGGTGTACTGCTGCAGCCAAAGAATTCAGGGCAGGTCGCTTTCATGTTTCCTTCTGCACATGGCAAAGCTCACCCTGTCGTGCCCAGCAATGCCTGCAGCACAGTCACCCTGTGATTGCTCTTCATGGCAGCTCACACAACAGATGATATTGTCAAGTGCCCACATCCAAACCTTCACACACTTCTGTACTTTTTCTAATGTCTAACGTGGCAGCAGAAATGTGAGAGAAAGATATTTGGGAAAGTTATTTTCAGCCTTACAGATTTCAAATTCTTCCTGTTTCTGCCTCAGGAGGAAACAGTATTTGTGCAGGTTTCAAGTCTCACAGCATAAGATGATTCAGGGAAAATTATTTGGAGTTTTGGATTCTGGCTCATACCTCCCCTAACATTTACACTTTTCCGATTTGTTCTTCTCTTTCAGGAACACAATGTTCAGTTCAGTACCTAAAACTCTGGGGTTTGGCTGGAAAATATTAGACTAATCCCTGATAACTTTCAGAATATAAGATCATCTGAACATTTTAAAGGTATGTCTTGAAACCAGTTTGGAATGTGATTGTTTGAACAAATGTTTGGGTAACACACAGGCTTTCCAGTCTAATGAAGGAAGAATAGGATCCGCCAGTACTAAAGACACATAAGAGCCTTTTATAGAACAAATTTTTAGGAGGCAGGAATGCTGCACATGCTTAAGAAATGAACTGAAGGAAACACCCAGGAGCCCATTCTCTGGCAGTTAAGGAGCAGACTTAACGTATCATTAAGCATAAATTGAGCCTGAGAATTATATCCATGGTTACCCATTTTTTGGTGCTAATGAGAAGCATAAGTTAAAAAAGAATAGTATTTCTTAATAAAGCAGAAATATCATCACAATCATTGTTTCTTATTTTAGCAGAAGGAAATATAGTAGTTTCATGGTGCAATTACATTATTAGAAGCAATTTAAATGTCATTGGATTTCTCTGTAGACCATAGTTAATACACGTCTAATATACCAAGAATGTTGGATCTTGTACTAATTCTGTCCTCAGAACACAAAAACTTTAGACATAGAAATCTTGAACCCCTAAGTAGCCACTAGCTCTCAGAGTTGGGAGTTTTGCAGAATATTGCTTGTTTTCATTGCAATGGTCACTTCTCACCTCACTGCTGCTGCTGTGACTGGGGTTCCCAGGAGCTCTGATCGTATTCTGAAGCCTAAGAGTGCCATTAGACAGGACTAAGCATTCCTTAGACTTTTGCTGTGTATATTGATTCTCTGCTTCTTCCCACACTTCAAAATCCTTTGCTCCATCAGGAGATACTGAGCTTCATGGCTGATGGAAGTGCCCAGGGCTCTCTGCGTGGAGAAGGATCCCCAACGGCACAGGGCAGCTTGGTACAATAGCTGTGAGTGGGTAGGAAAGAAGAAAAATACGCACAAGCTGCACGTAGCTGGTACATAACCAGCACTGGGCTGGGCAGGGGGTTAGAGGTGTGCAGTGAGGGACTCAGGTGAGTGTACACTTCTGTGACACTGCTATCCCAAGAGCTGCTCCGAGGGCAAGCAGTTGCTTTTCAGCTGCCGAAGGCCCAGAGCTGCAAGTTCCACTTTGCATCTGTTGACTCCCTTTCTGCTGCGTACCTGCATCCCTGCAGATGATGTCTGTAAGATGTCTCCCTGGAATGGTCAGTGAATAGGTCACTAGCACCAGGGATTAGACAATGTGGCAAGAGAGGAGGCTGCTCTCCCCCAAACAGCAGCAGCACTCTCCAGCCAGTCACAGACTTGCTGCCAAGTGCGGCGAGCGGAGAACCCTCAATAAATATGTTCAGACATTTTTATTTTCTGTGTACTGAGGCTGAGCAAAATACTTAAGGACTACCAGGCAAGCGTAGCATGCCCCAGCCAAAATCATTTCCTCCATTATCCGTAGCATTTTCAGCAGCAAAAAGTAATGAGAAATACTTGGCTATTGGCATTTTCAGCTGCATCTATTCAGTCTTCTAGAACTGAATGATTTAGCTGGATGCTGGCATATCAGAGTAAAAGTCTCTTCATCCCTTAGTGCTCTGAGACCAGTCATGCTGAGCTTCTACTTCCATTGGGAGCTCCTATAATATCCATCAAACATTTTTCAAGTCTGTATTTAAACTCCTAGGAAAATACACTCTTGACTCTCTCCTGGATGATGCTGTATGGCCCTGAGTGCTGCATCTGTGAGTCAGGAGTGCATTTCTGTAAGCAGAAGGGGCCTGATGCTGCCCTTGTATGTAGGGCCTTTCAGAACCCCTGCTCTGATTGGCTCCAAACAAAATCAGAATTTGGTCTTGAGCCTTAACTACATATTGTGATCCTCCTAAATTCGCCACTTTTCTGTCTTCTGTGCTTTATTTTCTCAAATAACTCTAAGCATATATTTAATTAATTGTACTGTGGGTGTGCATCAAGGTCTGGGCCAGATTGTCTGCTTGATTGTTCTTGGTAGTATCTAGTCCCTTTCCCCACACTCCTTTTCCCAGCTCTTCCATCGTGTTACAAGAGTAGACAAAGTGTGAGGTTTTTATAAATCCACTGAATTAAGATCTTTTGGGGAGAGGGAAAATAGAGTTAATTTAAGTATTTTTATACAAAAGAATAATATTTTTGTCATCAATGTTTGATGCAACTACCACTATTGATGTACCCAAGTCCCATAATGTACAGGGAATGTAAAATTATAGTAATATCTCATTATTTCATTGTATTTTCATTCAAAACTTCCTATTCATCCAGGGGCATCCTAAGTACCTACTTGAAACTCAAAAGCACCTAAGTGATGCAAGTGAACATGTAGAAGGAGAGATCCACTGGGACATTCGTGGTGTGTAGGTGTTTCACTGCAGTTGACTTGGTGGCATTAGCACTTCATGCCTGGAGGCAGCCTCAGATGCTTACCTGTGTCCTTCCTATCTCAAGCATTTCTTCAAAAACTCATCTGTGTGGGTGATGGGATGGCAGGAAATCAGGGGAAGATAAAGTTTCTCTAGCAGTTCAAATGGAATGTGAAAGTTCTTTTAAAGGCTACCTTGATTGCTTTTCTGTGCCCCAGTCTGCCCAGGTGTGAGCAGCAGTGAGAGGCTGGAGGTGTGCTGCAGTGGTAGTGTTTAGCAGTCAAGTATTGTCTGCTCCAAATTACTTTGCTCCTGAACCCAGTTATGGTTGCTAAGTGACAAAAACCTAATTGTCTCTCATGACTTTGACTAAGCCAAGCATTTAAAACCAAGAAAGTGCAGTGCTAAGGACGATGCACCTCTCCTGCTGTCCATATAACAAACCAGCTTTGGTACTAATCTGTTTTCTAGAGCAGGCAAAGGTGTTTGTTTGCTGTTCTTCTCCAGTAACTTTATTATTCCTGAGAGTATTATAGAGAATTGCATTAATTGCTATGGTAATCATGACAGGAAGCAATTACTTTCAGCAAATAACAATTACTTCAGCTTCCCAAATTTGTTTGTGACCACATCTGGCCTTAATCCTAGATTTATAACAAACATTTTTTCTGGAAATTGAAAAAGAAAAGACATTGCTGCTCTGTGGTGGGGAGGGTGAGCAAATCTGCATGTTAGGGATCTTATCCATGGCAAAAACCCAAGGACATAAGCAGATACTTCAAAATCTCTTGACTTTTGTAAGCATCTCATCTTATTGTCAGGGGCAGCTCAGGGCTGCTTTTGGTGACTGGTAGCTTGGTGTAGACAAAAATGCAAAATACCTGGGAAAAGGATTGTATCCATGTAAAAACTGGGACTAGCTTGGTTTCACTTAAATAATCCCTAATGTTGTTCTTACTTTCCTATCTAAGGACTTTAAAGAAGGCACCTATGTGAATACAGATTTATGAGAAGAAATGAGAATAAAAAAACATTGCAGGGCATGTGTTTGCTCTGTTAACATATGACTGTAGTGATGAAATAGCATAGCATTAACAGTACTAGAACATTACAGAATGCCTCACAAATTAAATTCTGTCTAGAGATCAAATTCCTTAAGTTAATAATGTGCATAATAGTTTTCCCTTGTGTTTCTTTTGCAATGTTTCTTTAAGCAATGTATTTTACCCAGTAGTACTTCATAAACTGTTTTGGGTTTTTTTAATCCACTGGGCCTCACCTTGATTGAAAACTTGTTGACAAACAGCTCCAGCAGTGTTTGGCTGTTCACAGCAGCCTCCCTGAACATCAATAATATTCATTTAACCCGCCAGAATGAGAACCCCCCAAACTGCTCATTACCAAGGTGCTGCACTGTTCACACAAGTAAACTGAAAAATGTTTAGTCCTTGCTTTTCCTTGGAAAGATGGATGGCGTTTTCTGCTCTATTTGTGCTCTCCAGTGCAAGACCAGCCCTGGAAAATACCCGGGGGCATGTTAGGAAGGGATGTTTTTGTCCAGCCAGGATAAAGGTGGAGCTGGAGGATCGACAAGAATCGATGCCCTGTTTCTCACCTCCCTTCCACGTTCAGAACTGTTCTTCAGGGATTCCAGAGCAGTACAATCCATAGCTGGAGGCTGGAGTCAGCACAGCAGGCTAAGGAAAACAGCAGGAAGCTCCCATTAAGTTGGCTTTACTAAAATCTTCCATATGTGCTTGGTGGCCCAGGCTCAGTTTGCCGTGACACAAGTAGACCCCAAATCCCTCAGCTGTGGTTCATCCTTGTAGCAACTGTATTTTCATTGGAGAAAGAGCTCTACAGTGTTAAATAATGTTGATGTTTTTCACTGCTCCTTATTTCTAGTATAATAATTTATGGGCCTGGGCCTGATGGGCAGAGTAAGTGGATTCCCTGGGGGTTTGCTGGCTGAGAACATTTGCTGAGCCCTGAACAGCACAACTCATAAACAGTATGTTAAGGCCATGTTTGCTTTTAATCTCTGCTTCTCTCTGTGTGCCAGCAATTTGAAGGAATAATTGACATTGCCTGGATACCTGAGGGTCTGCTTACACTTTTTATAAGCAGACATGATCTCACCCTGTGCTTGCTAGGAAAATACCATCTCCCAACAATGGGTTAGCAAACCCTGACTCTGTGCTGATAGCAGCATGTGCTGAGCTTCAGGACTGTGCCCTATGGCTCACAGCCAGCCTGGAACACAGGCTGAGAGAACTGAGGAGAAAAGAAAGATGGACTAGTCTTAAGGAAGTTGAAGTGAGGTTTATAAAAAACAGACTGTAGCCTATTTCTCCATCAAACCATGTGAATTAAGCACTTTGCTGCATCTCCAGATCTCTGAATGTAATTAAAAATCATGCTTGGTGTGAATTAATGTGATTGGAGTCAGAACTCATCTTGCTAGGTGCTTTCTTTAAATGAAATATAACCTAATTATACAGGCCAATTATCAAAGAAACTGTATCATAACTCCCTTGGCACAATTCCAGAATCTGATCCCAATGGTTTGTTGTTTGAATAGTGCAAGGCTGCAAGTTTGGACACCATGTGATTTTTTAAGTGTGAGAAATAGAAACCCAATCGGGTAATTTCCAATCAGAATTTATTATAT